ATTATGTAATATTTTTATGTCCACGTGGAACATATATATCTTTAAAATACACTATTAAATAGTGTAAAATTTGATATCATTACAACAATTTCGATTAAAATTCAGATATATTTCACACATTTTTCTTAAATATAATTTACTTTATGGAGAATGGGTATAAAAGTAAACATTGAATATCCCTCCACCAACCAGTACAACTGTACAATAATCATATAGTATAAATTATAAAGTATGATCCACATGCCAATAGGACACAAAAATAATGGCTTCTATATTTTCGGATTTTAAGGTTACCACAAAAAGGAAGTCGTGCACCGTCCCTTTTAAAAGTTCTAATTTTTATGACAAATTGTCTTTTTTTTTTATTTGTTCTCTTTGTCTACCCAATTTTCATTCTTTTCTTATTTTTTATTTTTCTCCAAATAAGAGTGGAAATAAAGAAAGAAATATCCACTTATTATCCAAATATGGCTAGTGCTCTTTGTTTCCTTTGTTTATATGGTCTTATTGCTTAGTGGTCTGGTATGCTGTTGAACAGATTGCTTTTAAAAATTATTTTATTTTTCAAGTGTATTGTAATATTAGAGAACAATATAAGTAGAGTCATCAAAATGGGCTTAGCCCATGAAACTGACCTAACATGTTATTATGAATTAGAGTTTATAAGGCCGACCATTATAAATTTTTGGCCTTTGAGGCTTGGTCAGAGTCGATCAAAACTATTGATTTGATGATAATTTATATAAAAAAAATTCACTAAAGTATGAGCTAATTATTTAGTGCGTCCAGATGCATGTATATCGGAATATGTAAACTCAAAATTATGTTTAATTTGTTCTAAATACACTCTATTCAAGTAGATTTCAATATATGTACGATACATAGACAAATCATGCGGCCTCACCTCCATCCATCTCGATTGCCACTCTCTTATCTCGTTTGTGTATCTGGGATACATTACACCAGCTACATGTATATCGCGTATGATCACACTAGATTCTTTTCTAATAATATTGAAATACTACTATTGTTTGTCATATTTGATTTAAAAATCTACTCATTTTTTTTTGGTGTTATAGAATTTTAGGTTTGAAAAAAGAGGGTTAGCCCACTCCAACCCGCAATCCTTCTAAGCTTGGGTTGGGTTGAGCATTTTCAAGTCATACCGAATGAAGAATCGAGCCGCCTTAACCCATCAAATTTCTTGACTCGCAAGGCTTGGGACAATAGGGCTAGGCTGACCCTTTTTTGGTAACTCTAAATGTAAGAGAATGCTTGTGCATGTACATAATTTTTTAGGTAATTGAGATTTTTTCTTTTCCATCAGAAATCTCTATCTAATCTAGTTTTTGAGTTCATACATGATTAATTAAGTGTGTGATGTTTTACATGAACTATCACCAAATATTTATCAAATCACATCTTAATTATTGGTTATTTACTTTTTCTACTTGATAACGATAATATTAATCCAGGTAGAAAATGTAAACAATTGATATTTAAAGTGTACTTCGATTTATAGTTGATCATAATTTAGGTACAAAACTCACACATATAAAATTCAAACAAGTAGAATACTTGAGTGTTTTTTTTTTTTTGTTTTTAGTATAATGAAATGACTTACTCTCTTTGACTCATTTATATGATTTACTTTTCTTTCTATAGATTTTACCTCAATGAAATAATTTATAGTCACATACACATCTATTGTGTATTTTATCCCTATAAACTTTAAAACTCTTCTTTCTTTCTATATTATGTATCAAATCGAACTACGAAACTAGAGTGTATTTAGACAAATGTTTAGTTGGATGAGCCAAGCCCACGTGAACAAGATTTAGGGTGTGTTTGGTATGAAGGAAAACATTTTTCTGAAATTTTTTTCCAATTTTCTCATGTTTGGTTGGGACAAAAATCTTGGAAAATGTTTTTCAAATTAACTCATTTTCCTCAAAATTAAGGAAAATGACTTCCCTTCAAAAATTAAGGAAAACATTTTCCAAAACTCTCCTCCAACTTCAAATTATATTTTGTTTTTGGAAAAAATATCAATTTTTAGAAAATATTTTCAATTTTCAAAATTTTAGTTTTCACCCAATCCCTGA